AATAGACACATTTGGGTCATTTTGTATTTAAAGAAACTGAGTCAAGACTATCTCGACATAGAAATTATTCCAAATGTCTGATGGATAAATCAAAATACAAAATATATGCCTAATACTACAAAAACTGTATACCCCTACTCAGTAAAACAAATCTAATCTAATCTAAAAAAATCTAGTTCGATTTAGCTATGTCTGTCCCCTTAGGTTCAATAGAGTCAACATTATTTCATGTAGAGCTATACAATTTTACAATTGGTCTTCGATGACTGGTATGGAATATGGGCTTTATTAGTCCAGGTATTGTCCAGTGTTGCCCAATTATTGGTATTTTGAAGTTCTTAGTCACAATTTTTAAATTGCATAATTTCCAATTTGGTATACTGGGTTCGTAACCAGTACACAACTAACTGGCAAAGTTATACATGAATTAGAAGTCAGCAAATATTAGAAATTCTAGTGGCCGTCGATTTGGCCATTATATAAGTTTTCAAATGAAGAGTATGGAAGATACGACAACGTCGAACTTAATGCAGTTGTAGTCATTATAACAACCCCCATAAAAGCAGGCTATATTTGTTTTTATACCCTCCACCGTCTGTGAAAGTCATTCTAGCTTCCGAACGAATTGAAGTAGGTTGATGAAATATTACTCGAATTTGTGTTTTATCTGCAGGACTTTTGGGATTGAAAATGTGCAATATAGGCCCACGTTTAGTTGTAGACCCCATATACCTGTACTTCCATATACTCGGTATTTTTATACCCTACACCACAAGGTGGTCAGGGTATTATGTCCTTGTGCATTTGTTTGTAACAGGCAAAAGGAAACCAGTAAGGAAAGCTCAAAAGTCGGGCGGGGCCGACTATATGATACCCTACACCACTATGCATATTTAGTAGAGCTCTCGTAAAAAGGTTTATACAGTGGATTTCAGAGCTCTATGAGATATTTGGTACAAAATCAAAATCTATCTAATTCTATCTAATTCTATAGCTATCTCTGAACCGGGGTTCTCCAAATTTTACGTATTAGCTTCTAGACTGAATTCGGTCTTATGTACGAAAATTCAGGTGATTTGGGCTGATATTGACCATTTAGTGCACATTTAACCCTAAATCGGATGAAGATATATATGGGAGCTATATTCAAATCTGAACCGATTTCGATAAAATTTAAAACAGCTATTCCTGTGCTCCATCTAATACCTGGTACCAAATATCACGGTTGTGGAGTGAATATTACGAATGTATGGGACTAAAACACTAAATCGGATGAAACATATATATGGTTGCTATATCTATATCTGAACCGATTTTCACTAAATTTGATATACTTGCTTTTAGGCTGAATTTGGTCCGATGTACTAAAATTCAGTCCATTTGGACTTATATCGGCCATTTGGTGCCCAATTAACCCGAAATCGGATGAAGATATATGTGGGAGCTATATCCAAATCTGAACCGATTTCGATAAAATTACAAACAGCTATTTCTGGGCTGTATCTTATATCTGGTACCAAATATCATTCTTGTGGAGTGCATATTACGAATGTGAGAGGCTTAAACACCAAATCGGATAAAACATATATATGGGAGATATAGCTGTCTCTGAACCGATTTTCTCCAAATTTGTTGTATTTGCTTTAAGGCTAATCTCGGTCACATATGCCAAAATTCGGGCCATTTGGGCTGATATTGGCCATTTGGTGGTCAATTAACCCGAAATCGGATGAAGATATATATGGGAGCTATATCCAAATCTGAACCGATTTCGATAAAATTTAAAACAGCTATTTCTGTGCTCCATTTAATACCTGGTACCAAATATCACGGTTGTGGAGTGCATAGTAGGAATGTTAGGGACTTAAAGATCAAATCGGATGAAAGATATATATGGGAGCTATAGCTATATCTGAACCGATTTTCTCCAAATTTGATATACTTGCTTCTAGGCCGAACTCGGTTGGGTGTGCCAAAATTCAGGTAATTTGGACTGATAGTGGACATTTGGTGCACATTTAACCCGAAATCGGATGAAGATATATATGGGAGCTATATCTAAATTTGATCCGATTCTCACCAATTTCAATAGGGTTCGTCCTTGGGCCAAACAAATATTGTTTGGAAAATTTCATCTCAATCGGATAATAAATGCGACCTGCATTTTGTTCACAAGAATACATGGACAGACGGACGGACGGACGGACGGACGGACGGACGGACAGACGGACGGACATGCATAAATCGACTCAGAAAGTGATTCTATGAAGGTTCTCAAAAGTAACTATGGGTCTAACTCGTTTCCTTCTCCATGTTACAAACAAATGCACAAAGACATAATACCCTTACCACTATGTGGTGTAGGGTATAACGAGATAGACCCATAGTTCCTTTTGATGATCTGCATAGAATCACTTTCTGAGTTGATTTATGCATGTCAGTCCGTCTGTTCGTCCGTCTGTCTGTCCATGTATTCTTGTGAACAAAATGCAGGTCGCATTTATTATCCGATTGAGATGAAATGTTGCAAACAAAATTTGTTTGACCCAAGGACGAACCCTATTGAAATTGGAGATAATCGGTAAACATTTAGATATAGCTCCCATATATATCTTCGTCCGATTTGCCTTTTATTGTGCACCAAACGTGTAATATCAGCCCGAATAGTATGGAATTTTGCACATACAAACAAATTAGGCCTGAAAATAAGTATGCCAAATTTTATCGAAATCGGTTCAGATATAGCTATAGCTCCCATATATATTGTTCATCCGATTTATTATTTTTGTCCTCCGCAGCCGTAATATGCTCTCTGTAACAACAATATTTGGGGAAATATATCAAATGCAGCTCAGAAATACCTTTGCTAAATTTTATCGAGATCGGTTCAGATTTGGATATAGCTCCCATATATAACTTCGTCCGATTTATCATTTACTGTGCACCAAACGTCTAATATTTGCCCAAATGAGATGGAATTTGGCACATACGACCGAATTTAGTCTAGAATTTGTTTGTACCAAGGACGAACCCTATTGAAATTGGAGATAATCGGTAAACATTTAGATATAGCTCCCATATATATCTTCGTCCGATTTGCCTTTTATTGTGCACCAAACGTGTAATATCAGCCCGAATAGTATGGAATTTTGCACATACAAACAAATTAGGCCTGAAAATAAGTATGCCAAATTTTATCGAAATCGGTTCAGATATAGCTATAGCTCCCATATATATTGTTCATCCGATTTATTATTTTTGTCCTCCGCAGCCGTAATATGCTCTCTGTAACAACAATATTTGGGGAAATATATCAAATGCAGCTCAGAAATACCTTTGCTAAATTTTATCGAGATCGGTTCAGATTTGGATATAGCTCCCATATATAACTTCGTCCGATTTATCATTTACTGTGCACCAAACGTCTAATATTTGCCCAAATGAGATGGAATTTGGCACATACGACCGAATTTAGTCTAGAAGGTAGTATGCCAAATTTGGTGAAGATCGGTTCAGATATAGTTATAGCTCCCATAAATATTGTTCATCCGATTTATGTATTTGTTACCCACAGCCGTAATATGCACTCCGTAACAACGATATTCAGGGAAATATATCAAATACAGCTCAGAAATATGTTTGCCAAATTTTATCGAGATCGGTTCAGATTTGGATATAGTTCCCATATATATTTTTATCCGATTTCAAATTAATTTCGTGAAAAAATCTTAAAAAATATTATAAGTCAAACTCACAATCACAAAATACTACGAAATCTATATTAACGTCATTATTAGCATATTTTCCTGCAATTTTTTTAGATTTTATATTTTTATGTCAAGAGGGCATTCTGAATTGACAAAATTTGTCAAAATCGGTCCAGCCATTCTTGAGATATAAGCATAACTAACATCACTTTCCTTTGTATATTCACATTGTATATATATATATATATATATATATATATATATATATATATATATATATATATATATATATATATTGACCTGTTCATCTATTTGTGATTTCGCCAGGATTAAAAATATTCGCGGTTTAATAGAAAATATGAAATTTATTTAACACAAGTGTTGTAGCCTATTTCACCCACTAAATATTACCCGATGACCATCAAATTGGAAGGCTTCTGCCCAGCCCTAAGCTCTAGCCCCATGCTAACTTCCGTTTTGATTGGTCTATAATTGCGACCTGTAGAGCAACTGTAAAATCAGGATTTTTTTCAGTTTTTGGTCCATTTCAAACCCTAAATATTATGCGATCATCTCCAAAAGAAATAGGGTTCTACACTGACCCTAGCCCCATCTCCATTCTAAATTTCGTGAAGATCGGGCCATAGAGTAATTACAAATTAACATGGACAGACGGACGGACATACATAGCTAGATCGACTCAGCTCGGCGAGATAGGAAGATCCATATATACTCCTATGTGGGAAACCAATATTTCGAGGTGTTACATAATTTTTGGCCCAATCAAACTTATAATACCCCCAACAAATAATGTTGTAGGGTATAATAAAATTCGACTTCTAGTAGACTTCCAAGTAGGAGTCTTCTATACTTAGGAAAACTTTGAACTATATTAAGAACTTAGACCTTCCATACATGCAGAAATTGGGTATGGTATGTGGGTATGCTCACCGGCAACTTATTTCCTAACTTAATATTATTAAGTATCTCATAGATATATACGTCATACAAATTCCACATTGTATCTTACATTTATCTATTGTGGATTGTATCTCAAGATAACCAACAATTGCCAAGATATTTTCCAAGTGCTGTTGAAGCATCAAAACAATAAACAGCTGTGTTTGCGGCGAATGTATCTACGAATTGTTTACAAATTCTAGCAGTTTTATGTTGTACCCTTTGGCACTCATTCTCTGTTCATTCAAACCCCAAGACTTCTCTCCCTCTCTCAAGAAAACCATGCGCATTTGAAAAAATAAACAAAAATCCATTAACTCTCTTTGGGAGTTAAATCACCAAACAGTACGAAGTTGAAATTCTCACGCACAACGAAGTTGTTTGGTAATTCGCTTTACATTGGACCCATTGAGAGAGGTAAGCAATGAGAATTTCTTTTCCATGGAGTTGTTGTACTTCCTCCCTGACTTACATGCCACGGCGAATTTGTTTGTTGGTTGGTTGATTGTTTGGTGTGGCACATCTGTAGATGTTGTGTGTGTTCGTCGTCGTGGTCGTTGGCTCCCTTGCGCATTTATGTTGTATAGCTGGCTGAATTCGCCGCCCATTGGCTGCCTGCATTTTGAATCCATCAGATACACGACACCATGGTGTAATCAGTTTTGTTTCGTTATTGTCCGGGTACGGTTGTAATAAGCGCTTGCTAGGGCGAATGTGCGACGGTTTTGAATGCATGAAATGTAAAAGAAGCAAAAGAGAATTCAAATGAAATGCAAATTAAAAATAAACAAAACAAATTTAAGCGAAATTAAATCGAAATTGGAAATTTTATACGTAAAAAATAGAATTTATGAAAATTCGTGATTGTTGAGAGAAAACAAAACAGAAAATAAGATTTTGGATAAATATCATTAAAAATTCTTTTGTGTCTAACATTGAAATCAACCCCATATTCCAACGTTGTATGGAATTTTTTTGTGTGAGGCAGGCGGCCGACACATCTCTTAAAAGTGTATTCCCGTGCTGAGGTGTTCGTCGTTCGAAGGCGACGACGACGTCGAGGAGGAGTAGCTGGAGAGGAAAGCATCTAATGTCTGTACGTTGGTATAATATACAAAACAGCCTGACAGACGAATAAGAGCTAGACTATTGTCCTATGCTCCAGAGTCCTAATTTTCCGTATACGTGTGTAGGTGTGTGCGTGCGTTTTCGTATTTTCTGTGTGTAGAGAATAGCACCTTAAAAAAGAAAGAAAAATAAATAATAAAACAAATAATAAAGAGAACGAAATAAAAACACAAATACTGAAATCATATTGGAATAACTTCATTTTGGATTACAAATACAAAAACAACAACATTGAAACTCATTGATGCTCTATAACCCTCTCAACAGGCTATGTTCTATGCCGGCCAATCTTAAAAACCATTAAAAAAATCTTTTGAGTGCCATTTTCAAATGGGGATTTTTTGAAAAACTAACGTTTTCCAATATTCCAAAACGATATCGAATCAACAATTACAACAACGACAACAACCTTTGAGTGCCAGTATCACATAAAATTAAAGGAAATCTATGGGATTTTCTCAACACCCACCCCAACCCCATTAATGGTCCAGGGTTCTTAAGAAGAATATCCATTGATATTACATTTGTGTTTATGTGTTCGTGTGTGCATGTGAGGAGATCGCGCGTGTATCTATTTGCTATGCATTTTAACCCAAAAATAATTGTATCTGCCTGAAAACGAAATCCTAATAAAATCATATTGCATTTAAGTGGTTGTAACGAAAAGGCAAATATTGAAAATCAATTTATGTATTTAACGAAAGGCCAAAATTTTGAAAACAAAATTGGAAATTGTGCATATAATACAACAACAACAAAATATCTCCTACTAAGCTCAATTGGTGTTCGACTAAATTAGAATCAATAACAAATGGGAATTTGTGAAGAAATTTGAAGTGTACTTTTAAGCAAACAAAAATTGAAAGAGAATTGAGAAACAGCAGATTTTTAATGGATCAATCTACTACAATTGGATAAAGGATTAAACAGGTTTGTATTTTGTCCAGTAGGAAAAGATAATTTTCAAAATACCTACGAATGGTGTAACACTTGACTATGGTCAGTTGGATCTTATAAGAAATTTAAGAAATTGTGGCATCATAGGGGTTTCGACTTCCGATAGAATCTTAAGAAATAATTCCTTTGATAATGTGGAATTTCTCATGGGCTGTGTTAAATAGTTTTATTATTATATCAAATCTGCGACATCATTAACCCCTAGAATGAATTATTCTAAAGAAAATTTGAAAACCAGCTTTTCGATAAGAATTTTTATGAAGAGTTCAGTTTTGGTTTATTCTAGAAGAGACAGATAGACAGAGGTAATTTTGCAAGGGAGTTTTGGCAATATCTCAAATCATTTCTACCACTTCAACCTCGGAGGAATTTTCAGTAAAAATGCTATTCTAGAAAAGACTCATTGGAAAAAGCAGATTCTGAAAGGGGCTATTACCCCTAGAATGAATTATCCTAAAGAAAATTTGAAAATCGACTTTTCGATAAGAATTTTTATGAACAGTTCAGTTTTGATTTATTCTAGAAGAGACAGACAGAGGTAATTTTGCAAGGGAGTTTTGGTAATATCTCAAATAATTTTTACCACTTCAACTTCGGTGGAATTTTCAGTAAAAATGCTATTCTTGAAGAGACTCATTGGAACAAGCACATTCTGAAAGAGGTCGGATAAATGGTAAAGCCTTTTAAACGCTTGATCTAACTATAAAATTATCTCAAAAAGCAACTCAAACACATGAAAACTGTTGAATTGAAAATTGAACTCTGAGAAATATTTGAATTCTACGATAAAGTTAATGGATTTTCAAAATGATTGTCGGTGGACATCCAAGATTTAGATTTTCCCCAATTTCCATATGAAGAAACATAGTGGAAAATCATGAATACGCGAGGTATAAATAAGTACAAAGTCGAGCTATTATTTGAAAACATATTTGTAAGGGGTTGTTCAAGATATAATTGTGGAAGGCTTTGTCAAAAAAAAGAAATTAGTAATAATTAAAAGCATTTAAATTTTGGAATCTACTGACCAGTGAGAAAAATATGATTGCTATGAAAAAATTGAACGAGTTTCCAAAATTTTATATACTATTTTAGATTCTTCCCAATCTCGATATGGAAAAATTTCAAAAATCGTGACAATCCGAACTATAAACGAATATCTAACAAAGACGTGATATGAATGAGGATTTAGTGCAAAGTTCTGCCGAGATATAATGGTTGATTATTCGATAACAAAAGTTTTAGGGGATGTCTTTAATATAATTGTAGATTTTTGACAGTTGAGGTGAACCATAATGTATTTTGCCCAAGAAAAAAATCTTGGATTTATTAAAATATTATTTGGGAAACTGTGGCAGATTTTTTGAAAGTATTTTTGTTGAGTCGAGTTATATGCAGTGGATTTTTTAACATTTTTCTTGGGCGGCGGTCCTAGATTATTTTACATTTTTTTGGACAGCTGTCTTGGGTTATTTGATAATATTTTTGGGCCGGTCTGAGATGTAATAGTTGATTTTTCGAAAAAAACCCCAAATATACTTTTGGGGTTGTAATGGATCTTTTAAGAAAATTTTGTGGTGGACTGTCCTAGGTATGATCGTAAAATTTTGAAAAGACTTTTTGAAGTAGATTTTTTTTGAAGGTATGTCCGACATATACTCTAACATCTTTTACAGATCTGACCAAAATAATATGGTTGATTTCTAAGAATTTTTTAGATGTTCTCCGAGATATAATGATTGAGTTTTCGAAAAATAAGTTTTCGGATTCGTCCGAAATACAATCGTGGACTTTTTAGAAAATATTTTAGGGGCTGTCTTGGATTTTTTAAAATACTTTTTGTCCGAGGTATAAAAGTGTATTTTTTGAAGCCACTTTATTGTGAGGTTGCTGAAAAGCAATCGAGGATTTTTTAAAATTATTTTTTGGTGTTTTGTCCGAAATTTAAAAATGGATGCTTTGAAAACATTTTTTAGGAAAGCTGTCCGGCGTGGATTTTTTTTGAAACTTTCGTCAATTTTTAGAAAGGCTGTCCGAGATATAGTCCATGGTACTTTGAAACTAGTTTAGGGGGGATTGTCCGATATGTAATCGTCGATTCTTAGAAATATTTTTTTGGAGGTTACCTGAGAAATAATTGTGGATTTCTTTTAGAACGTAGTCGGAAAAGCATTTAAGCTTTAAATAAATGACAGAAACTAGAGATTATCTAAAAATATATTTACAAGAAGTTTTTTTTTTTTTGAATTGGTTGTCTGAGGTATAATCATGGACGTTTTAAAAAGCAGTTCTTGGGGGATTTCAGATATATAAAAGTTAATTTATGTAGGGTTTGTCGAGGTGTAATCTAGACTTTTTGGTTGAGTTTTTGAAAAAATGGGGGACTGTGCGAAGTACAATTGTGTTTTTTTTTTGTTTGTTTGATAAGTTATAATGTCGGATTTTTATAAAACTTTTTCTGGAGAATGTTTGAGATATAATTGTGAATTTCTTGAAAATTAATTGAAGGTAGGGTTTGTCCGATATATTTACGAAAAAAATGTATTAACAAATGTTTTTGGAGGTTCCAAACTTAAAGAGTATGAGTAAAAAATCTGTTTTTTTATTTTTGTACCCTGCACCATAGTATGGAGACAGAAAATTGTGTGTGCGAGTCCACGTTTTGGTGTAGTTCCCATATAATGGTACCTCCCTATTTTAGCTACGTTATTCACCGATTTTTTTTTTCAAGTTTCGCATTTGTATATTGTAATGGCTTATGACAAAAGTTGCCTATGCAGGTCCACGTCGTCGTTTGGACTCTAATATAACTGCTGCATTATTTTTACGACTTTACCCTAATTTTTGACGGATTTAATGTTTTTGAAAATTGCCAACTTCGTTCCAAATGGTGAAGGGTATTTAAAGTTCGGTCCAGGCGAATTTACTTGTTATATATAATGAGAGATAAAACGGTGATTTTTTTTAAACATTTTTGTAAAGCTGTGTAAGAACCGGATATTACCCACACTATTTTGGTCAAAATGCCGATCCATATGACTTCTATCGGTAGATCTACTTTCATAATACACTCGATTTTTTTTTGCAATTTAAAAAAAAAAATTATTTTGTGTCGCACAGTGTTTTATATCGAAAAATTCTCCAAACATTTTCTCTGAAAAATATAGCCAAGAAAAATTCTGTAACAAATACAGTATTATAACATGGACCTCCCTTTTATATTTTTGATGAAAACTCATTCTTAAAGGTCTATCCAGTTTTTTGCCAAAAAGGGTTTTTATTTTATTTTATTTATTTTTTTTTTGTAAATAGAATAGTTATGGATTTTTGTAGAAAAAATTATGAAAAATATCCATACTTTAACCGAGGGGAATTTATGATTTTTTTAAACTCTACTACTTTCCCCTTTGAAATGAGCAATTAGGCAAATTATTCTTGTAAAATTTCAAGTTCTGTCCAAAATATTTTTTATTGTTTATAAAGCATTTTTAAGGGGCTGAGGTCAGCCACGCCAAAAACAGTCTTACCTTGAAAAATTTTGGCAATAACGATTACTATACACTTTAAACTTTAAACAAGTATATAAATCGAGTAACAAAAAATATTATCAAAGCCTTTTAGAAATTGCCGTTGGTCAACAACGCGAGGAAACCTGAAGAGAATCATATAAAAGCTAAATCATTTAGTAAGCCGACAAACAAAATATACTTTGTAATTATGGCTCCTAAAAATTGGACACTCCTAAACAGATTTACAACCTCACTCTTTCAAACGTACTCATACATTCCTCCAAGTCAATTTCTATGTTTAAAATAATTTCTCTTAAATAATATCGTAAATATTATTTAAATTCTTTACCTTCCCCTTTAAATCCCCCTAAAGCCCCATTTTATTCAACATTTTAATTTATCAATAATGCAAACTGTATGACACACATAAAACTTTGATTTCAATATTACAAAAACTTTTTAAATTAAAAATAGTAATCTAAAATCTTTAGAACTTTTCACAATCTTCAAACTCAAGTTGCCAGTCTTTTACCATTTCAAATGTGTCTTTCGTTTCCATATCCAGAAATGACATTTAAGCCAATAACTAATTTTCAAAAAATAAAAAAAAAACACAAAAAGTAAGCCAATAACACTTGTTTCAAACCATTTACATTTCAATTGGCCACAATTTCAAGTGAAACATCCAGAAATCACCCAATTTTATTTGAACTTCTTCGCCCTCTCATTTTTCTTTCTTTCGTTGAATGCAAAACTTTTCTTCCTGATGTTACAATTTTCCACTTTATATTTTTTTCTTTTTCCATTTGTCACTTGGATAAAAAAGTGTTTGTCTCCATTTTTTAAATATATTGACACGAATTTGTGTCTGAGTGACAAAAGTTTGCCCGAATAGAATAAAATAAAGCAAAGAAAATTGAATCTAATAATGAAAAATAAAAGTCAACCAACAGATGTCTATTTTGCTGCCTTTCTTACTTGGCAAATGCCAATATTCTTGGATACAAAACCACAAAGAAAATCAAATTATTGAAATGGCAAAAGTTATAAAATACATGAGAAATGAAAAAGTTTGCAATATTAAAGTTAAAATGGAATGGTAAGCAACTAGAGTTGTTTTTAGAGAGATAGAATGGGGAAGTTGTAGGAATTTTGAAAATAAAGCTTACTTGAAGTTACTGGTATATTTTACGATTTTCATGGCAAGAATTTTTAACAGAAGTAAGCACCCTTAAAAAATAAAATACAAATTCAAATAATCACGATTTTAATTTTAATTAATTTTCCTTCAAAAATACTTTGGAAAAATCTAATCTCATGGCTCTGGTAGTCTATCTAAATATTTATTTTAAATTTACTTTTCTTGTTAATAGGAAACTATAATTTAGAAATCGAAGAAAATAGCTCTATTAGACCTTAAAAATATTCCTAAAATACACAATCCGCTTCGGGTGTCCTAATAGT